GCTGGCACCATGTACCAGTGTGTCATGCTGGCACCATGTACCAGTGTGTCATGCTGGCACCATGTACCAGTGTGTCATGCTGGCACCATGTACCAGTGTGTCATGCTGGCACCATGTACCGGTGTGTCATGCTGGCACCATGTACCGTGTGTCATGCTGGCACCATGTACCGGTGTGTCATGCTGGCACCATGTACCGGTGTGTCATGCTGGCACCATGTACCAGTGTGTCATGCTGGCACCATGTACCAGTGTGTCATGCTGGCACCATGTACCAGTGTGTCATGCTGGCACCATGTACCAGTGTGTCATGCTGGCACCATGTACTAGTGTGTCATGCTGGCACCATGTACCAGTGTGTCATGCTGGCACCATGTACTAGTGTGTCATGCTGGCACCATGTACCAGTGTGTCATGCTGGCACCATGTACCAGTGTGTCATGCTGGCACCATGTACCAGTGTGTCATGCTGGCACCATGTACCAGTGTGTCATGCTGGCACCATGTACCAGTGTGTCATGCTGGCACCATGTACCAGTGTGTCATGCTGGAACCATGTACCAGTGTGTCATGCTGGCACCATGTACCAGTGTGTCATGCTGGCACCATGTACCAGTGTGTCATGCTGGCACCATGTACCAGTGTGTCATGCTGGCACCATGTACCAGTGTGTCATGCTGGCACCATGTACCAGTGTGTCATGCTGGCACCATGTACCAGTGTGTCATGCTGGCACCATGTACCAGTGTGTCATTCTGGCACCATGTACCAGTGTGTCATGCTGGCACCATGTACCAGTGTGTCATGCTGGCACCATGTACCAGTGTGTCATGCTGGCACCATGTACCAGTGTGTCATGCTGGCACCATGTACCAGTGTGTCATGCTGGCACCATGTACCAGTGTCATGCTGGCACCATGTACCAGTGTGTCATGCTGGCACCATGTACCAGTGTGTCATGCTGGCACCATGTACCAGTGTGTCATGCTGGTACCATGTACCAGTGTGTCATGCTGGCACCATGTACCAGTGTGTCATGCTGGCACCATGTACCAGTGTGTCATGCTGGCACCATGTACCAGTGTGTCATGCTGGCACCATGTACCAGTGTGTCATGCTGGCACCATGTACCAGTGTGTCATGCTGGCACCATGTACCAGTGTGTCATGCTGGCACCATGTACCAGTGTGTCATGCTGGCACCATGTACCAGTGTGTCATGCTGGCACCATGTACCAGTGTGTCATGCTGGCACCATGTACCAGTGTGTCATGCTGGCACCATGTACCAGTGTGTCATGCTGGCACCATGTACCAGTGTGTCATGCTGGCACCATGTACCAGTGTGTCATGCTGGCACCATGTACCAGTGTGTCATGCTGGCACCATGTACCAGTGTGTCATGCTGGCACCATGTACCAGTGTGTCATGCTGGCACCATGTACCAGTGTGTCATGCTGGCACCATGTACCAGTGTGTCATGCTGGCACCATGTACCAGTGTCATGCTGGCACCATGTACCAGTGTGTCATGCTGGCACCATGTACCAGTGTGTCATGCTGGCACCATGTACCAGTGTGTCATGCTGGCACCATGTACCAGTGTGTCATGCTGGCACCATGTACCAGTGTGTCATGCTGGCACCATGTACCAGTGTGTCATGCTGGCACCATGTACCAGTGTGCCATGCTGGCACCATGTACCAGTGTGTCATGCTGGCACCATGTACCAGTGTGTCATGCTGGCACCATGTACCAGTGTGTCATGCTGGCACCATGTACCAGTGTGTCATGCTGGCACCATGTACCAGTGTGTCATGCTGGCACCATGTACCAGTGTGTCATGCTGGCACCATGTACCAGTGTGTCATGCTGGCACCATGTACCAGTGTGTCATGCTGGCACCATGTACCAGTGTGTCATGCTGGCACCATGTACCATTGTGTCATGCTGGCACCATGTACCAGTGTGTCATGCTGGCACCATGTACCAGTGTGTCATGCTGGCACCATGTACCAGTGTGTCATGCTGGCACCATGTACCAGTGTGTCATGCTGGCACCATGTACCAGTGTGTCATGCTGGCACCATGTACCAGTGTCATGCTGGCACCATGTACCAGTGTGTCATGCTGGCACCATGTACCAGTGTCATGCTGGCACCATGTACCAGTGTGTCATGCTGGCACCATGTACCAGTGTGTCATGCTGGCACCATGTACCAGTGTGTCATGCTGGCACCATGTACCAGTGTGTCATGCTGGCTCCATGTACCAGTGTGTCATGCTGGCACCATGTACCAGTGTGTCATGCTGGCACCATGTACCAGTGTGTCATGCTGGCACCATGTACCAGTGTGTCATGCTGGCGCCATGTACCAGTGTGTCATGCTGGCGCCATGTACCAGTGTGTCATGCTGGCACCATGTACCAGTGTGTCATGCTGGCACCATGTACCAGTGTGTCATGCTGGCACCATGTACCAGTGTGTCATGCTGGCACCATGTACCAGTGCGTCATGCTGGCGCCATGTACCAGTGCGTCATGCTGGCACCATGTACCAGTGTGTCATGCTGGCGCCATGTACTAGTGTGTCATGTTGGCACCATTGATCACCAGTCAAGGCGTGCACATATCTTATATACATCGCCGATTTTAAATTTCCTCTTGCAACTACAGAAGCATATTACTGAGTTTCCAACCTTACTTTCTTCTCTAGTCGCTTATATAAATAAAAAATGTGCACTGGGAAGGAGTTATCATGTGTGTAGGAGAGTATACACACTTGTAGTGTATATATGAATATACTATGTATACGCTTTTCTGTAGGAGGTAGTACACGTATGCGTGTGTAAGAGTATACACATAAGTATGTGTGTGTGTGTGTGTGTGTGTGTGTGTGTGTGTAGTAGGGGAGTATAGACACATGTAGTGTATATAGGAATGTTTACCTGGAGAGAGTTTCGGGGGTCAACACCCCCGCGGCCCGGTCCGAGACTAGGCCTCATGGTGGATTAGGGTCTGATCAACCAAGCTGTTACTGTTGGCCGCACGCAAGTTGACGTACAAACCACAGCCCGGTTGGTCAGGTACTGATTTTAGGTGCCTGTCCAGTGCCTTCTTGAAAACAGCCAGGGGTCTGTTGGTAATCCCTCTTATGTATGCTGGGAGGCAATTGAACAGTCTTGGGCCCCGGACGCTTATTGCGTTCTCTCTCATTGTACTCGTGGCGCCCCTGCTTTTCATCGGGGGAATGTTGCATCTCCTGCCGAGTCTTTGGCTTTCATAGGGAGTGATTTTCGTGTGCAGGTTTGGTGCCAATCCCTCCAGGACCTTCCAAGTGTATATTATCATGTATCTCTCTCGCCTGCGTTCCAGAGAATACAGATCAAGGACCTACAACCGTTTCCAGTAGTTGAGGTGCCTTATCGTACTTACGTGTGCCGTGAAAGTTCTTTGTACACTCCCCAGGTCTGCAGTGTCGCCAGCCTTGAAGGGGACCGTTAGTGTACAGCAGTATTCCAGCCTAGAGAGAACAAGCGATTTGAAGAGAATATAATATTATGTATATAAACTATATACATAAATGCGTGTGCAATGCACACGCATTTATGTATATAGTTTATATATATATATAGGAATTTATGTATGTAGTGTACACTGTGTTTAGGGATATTCACATGCGTGCTCGTGTATGTACGATAATGATAAACAATAATGATAGTTTATTTATAGAAAGTATGGTTTAAACGTGTTTCAGAAATAGAAAGTATGGTTTAAACGTGTTTCAGAAATAGAAATTATGGTTTAAAAGTGTTTCAGAAATAGAAAGTATGGTTTAAAAGTGTTTCAGAAATAGAAAGTATGGTTTAAACGTTTTTTTTCAGTAAAAAAGTAGAAGAAAGTGAGATTATTGAGGTACTGTGTATAAAGTCCCTGGTTACATAGAGCACATCAGTCAACTTTAAAATAATCTCATAACCACTTACAACTGCTACTGGATATTTTTTTCAAGCAATTTATTGGAAGTTTTCAATAAACAAATTACTGTAACGTTTCTGAAGGTTATTACAAATATTGGTCAAACACAAATACAACTAATGATCTCAATTCCAGGACAGAATAAACTGAAGACTCGTAGAATGCAATAAATTGAAGAGCTGTAAACTGCACAGCATCTCCAGCAACACTTAGTTTATATTATACGTATTAAAATCTACTCGGTTAATTCAAAATTAAAATCACAAGATGTAAATGAAGAATTAGACACATGTGCAACATCTGGGTATATCTTTATTTTGTAGACGTTGCGTCATCCAGTGGCTTTATCAGTACAATACAAGAATGATGCATCAGTTGCTCAGTGTTGGAGTTGGTGGAGAATGTGAAGTATAGGCGGGAAAACTGTCTCTTATATACTTCGTCTGCTACATGTTCTTATTTGACGCCAGTATATAAGCGACCATCTTACTCCCTGTGCTTCACCTCCAAGGTTGGTACTTCATCTTTTGTGTATACATAGTTCTACTTTCTTTACATTATGTCCTTGTATTGATAAAGTCACTGGAGGGCGAAACGTCTACAAATAAAGATACTCAGATCTTGCACATGTATCTAATTATTCATCTCGATATTACGTACCAGTCGATGTGGTCAGTCCATCAATCTTCAAGATTGATGGACTGACCACATCGACTCAAGGTTGAGGGACTGATTACCTCATTCTCCTCCTGTTCTTCAAGATTCTCCTTTGTATGGACTGATGAAGCCACTGTGTGGCGAAACGTTTCCTCAATAAAGATACCCAAGAGTTGCACATGTGTCTAATTTATCAACATGTCGGTTCTCTGAACCATTCATCTACAAATACAAGTACTGTACATGTATACGAACTTGAGGCTAAATAGAAGCCTACAATGTTCGTATCTCCCCTCAATGGTAAATAATCTTAATATATTATGTTATTTGTATAATTGTTATTACATAAGTACACGTCTACTCTTACAGTGGTAGAGACGTCTCGCTCACCTGTAGTACTGGATCCCACACCCAAGCCTCAGCGGAAACTCATCCAGGCTCCCAGGTTCAACATCTCTGCTGAGGTAGGAGTCATGACGGTCTGTTGTGTGGTGGAAATGGTATAAATTACCGACAAGTTATTGAGGAGACATCATGTGCAGCAATTGTTGAAACTGTGTCGTGGACCGGGCCGCGGGGGCGTTGATCCCCGGAATAACCTCCAGGTAACCTCCAGCTACACGGTAGGCTTCTTTAGTCATATACCGGGTGTAGAAGTGACGGGGTAAAGATGATGTAGAATTTGTCCATCAACCATGTACAAATAGAGAAAAGTTGAGCTCCATGATCTGGAACAATATTGTTCCAAACCATGGAGCTCAACTTTTCTCCAGATTGAGGGACTGATAACTTCCAACTATTTCTACAAGGTTGATGAGGGATTGATTACATCATCTTTACCTCGTCCCTCCTCCTGCCTTCACCTTAACTCCATTTGACTGAAGACGCCTACCATGGTAAGCGAAACGTCTCAACAATAAAAATAACAGACTGTTGCACGTGTGTCTTATTCATCAATGTGTGTGTTGTGTTACAAATAACGTCTGAACACACTGCAGGGTATATCGTACGTTAAGCCATCATACAATGATACTCTCAGTTTTAAAAATTTGTTCTGTGTATATACTTCCCACATATATACTTGAGTATAATTCTGTTTTGTATATGTCACCCCATGACTCAACATAAATGCCTTATTTGTCATATACTGGACAATATATCATATATTAGTCAGTGCTAGTATGCTAAGGACTAGTACAACATTGAAGTATGAGACTGCTGTTGTGGATTATCGTGGAATATCATAAATTAGAAAAAAATGGTTATAACTATGACCATAATTTTTAAAGGGGTGGACCGGTAAGCCAGCGGAAGGCCTCGGTCAGATGACCAAAAGCTCTAACGGCGGGTTATCATCTGACTAAGACCCGCGTCAGGAAACACTTGTCATGTTTCCTGACAAACCTTACCTAACCTAGCCTCATAAATTAAGAAGTCCAGATTTGTATGTGATTCAGATTTGAGTGGGATTTGTATGTTTTCACTTTTTATATTTTTGTTTAATATACAAATAGATACAAAAAAAATAGAAATTAGTGGAAACCAAGCTTCATAATGTAGGTAGAGTGAAGTTAATGTATTAAGAAGTAGACGGGTGTCTAGAAAGTGCTTTTCTGATTTCAGTTTTATTTCCCAGTGGTAACAATATGAAAATCTTGTTTTCTAAATGTGATAGCTGACCTAATACGGGTTGTTTTTATGCAGTCTCGGGGAAAGGATATTCGAGGATACTGGTTAGCCGGACTTGAGTCCTGGAGGTGGGAGGTGCAGTGCCGGCACTTGGAAGGAGGGGAAAGGGGTGGAGATTTGTTGCAGTTTTATTTAACTCTAGTTCAGGCACACCTCTGGCAGGACAGTGATGGAGTGAACGATGATGTAAATGTTTGTTCTATTTTGGGTCGCAGATGGCCAGTGTGTTAATGAAAAATATCATAGTTTGTGTAATCCATGTAATCTCAACAATTGTACTTTTAGTGTCCCATAACTTATCTAATAAATACTCCAGTTAATTTCACTTATTGGCCAACATATCCAACATGACCATACCCCCGGCCGGGATTGAACCCGCGGTCATACCCGGCCGGGGGTATGGTTTGTTTGCAATCGTGTCATTACGATTTCTTGAGTCATATCCAACATGACTTTAACAGCGCCATCATATATTCTAGCACGGAGTGTTTTATGTCAGGTGTTGATATCTGGAGAATATAATCTTTTACAAATGCCAACAAGAAATTTAAAGGCCTGATATCAGGGGAACATTTGATGGAGTCATCACATTCACTTCACTGCCAGTCAACTTCACTTCATGATGATTTCATTATCGTCCACAGAACTGTTTTTTTTTTTTTATATCTTGCATCATTGTTGATAAAATTTTGAAATTGGGAAAGAATTTTCCATGCGATTTTCACCTCAGAAATAGTATTACGCGTTAATAAGTTGACCTCTACTTTTTTTTTGCTTAAAATATTTGCTTTATAAGCCTCAGTCTACACAAGTATATACATCACCAATTAATTTTCAGTGACATTCATTGACCGAAGTTGTTGGGTGTGATGCATTATGGGTTCCTTTTCCAGTGATACAGATCTATATATCCAGATAATTATCACTTGTTGTTTAGGTCAAGCTTAATGTATAATCAAGCTTAATGTATGCTGAGTACTGTATTTTAAAAACATTAGTTTAATGACTCACGAAATTGTAATGACACGATTGCAAACGAACCAACCACAATATGGGTGGGGATTGAACTCGCAGTGAGTGAGTCGTAAAACTCCAGGCCTGGAATTTTATGATTCACTTGCCGTGAGTTCAGTTGCCCCCCGTACTGTGGTTTGATTAATTCAATCAACAATGGAAATAGGTCACACTGACTTTTTTGGGTTACCCTAGTTTCTCTACACACATGCTGCTATGTATGATAATCTATGTAACTGTATTTGTGTATACCTGAATAAACTTACTAATCATTTGCTTCAGGACGAGGAGGAGGATGATCTGAGTGATATTCCTCCATCAAGCCCACATTTGAGCAGCACTCCAGTTATAGGTACAGTAGTGCGGAGTCCCACACAAACCCCACAGTCGACACCATCTTCACCATGGTCACGGATGGGTGAGTGTCTTCAAACAATTTTCTGCATATATCGCTGGGAATATAAGCAAAGGTGTTGATGTTACTGGATGAAAAAAAAAAAACTTGTTCTTTGGTAAAATTCTCAGATTCCTAAATCTGACGTACGAACGACAGCCTGGCAGGTCAGGTACTGACGTTGGTGCCTGTTCAGTGCCTTCTTGAAGACAGCCAGGGGTCTGTTGGTAATCCCCCTTATGTGTGCTGGAAGGCAGTTGAACAGTCTCGGGCCCCTGACACTTATTGTATGGTCTCTTAACGTGCTAGTGACACCCCTGCTTTTCAATGCGGGGATGTTGCATCGTCTGCCGATGCTTTCATAGGGAGTGATTTTCGTGTGTAAGTTTAGTACTAGTCCCTCTAGGATTTTCCAAGTGTATGTAATTTTGTATCTCTTCCGCCTGAATTCTAGGGAGTACAGTTGAGGAACTTCGAGCATTCCCAGTAATTGAGGTGTTTTATCTCCGTTATGCGCGCCGTGAAGGTTCTCTGTACATTTTCTAGGTCAGCAATTTCACCTGCCTTGAAAGGTGCTGTTAGTGTGCAGCAATATTCCATCCTAGATAGAACAAGTGACCTGAAGACTGTCATCATGGGCTTGGCATTCCCTAGTTTTGAAGGTTCTCATTATCCATCCTGTCATTTTTCTAGCAAATGTGATTGATACAATGTTATGGTCCTTGAAGGTGAGATCCTCCGACATGATCACTCCCAGGTCTTTGACGTTGGTGTTTCGCTCTGTTTTGTGGTTGGAATTTGTTTTATAATCTGATATAGGTTTAAGTTCCTCATGTTTTCCATATCAGAGTAATTGAAATTTCTCTTCATTGAACTTCATATAGTTTTCTGTGGCCCATTTAAAAATTTGGTTGATGTCCGCCTGGAGTCTTGCAGTATCTTCAATGGATGACACTGTCGTGCAAATTCGGATGTCATCTTCAAAGGAAGACACGGTGCTGTGGCTTACATTCCTGTCTATGTCAGATATGAGGATGAGGAACAGGATGGGAGCGAGTACTGTGCCTTGTGGAACAGAGCTTTTCACCGTTGCCGCCTCAGACTTTACTCTGTTTACTACTACTCTTTGTGTTCTGTTTGTTAGGAAATTATAAATCCATCTACCAACTTTCTTTTCCTGTTATTCCTTATTCACACATTTTGTGTGCTATTACACCATGTGGTCACACTTGTCAAAGGCTTTTGCAAAGTCTGTGTATACTACATCTGCGTTTTGTTTGTCTTTTAGCGCATCCAGGACCTTGTCATAGTGGTCCAGTAGTTGGGACAGACAGGAGTGACCTGCTCTAAACCCATGTTGCCCTGGGTTGTGTAACTGATGGGTATCTAGACGAGTGGCGATCTTGCTTCTTAGAACCCTTTCAGATACTTTTATGATATGGGATGTTAGTGCTATCAGTCTGTAGTTCTTTCCTATTGCTTTACTCTCCCCTTTGTGGAGTGGGGCTATGTCTGTTGTTTTCAGCAGTTGTGGGATGGCCCCTGTGTCCATGCTCCCTCTCCATAGGATGTTAAAAGCATGTGATAGGGGCTTCTTGCAGTTCTTGGTGAACACAGAGTTCCATGAGTCTGGGCCTGGGGCAGAGTGCATGGGCATGTCATTTATTGCCTTCTCGAAGTCATTTGGCATCAGGATAATATCAGTTAGGTTCGAGTCTGCCAAATTCAGTCTCTCATAAAAAATCATTTAGGTCATCGACTGTCTGGTTAGCGGCTCGCTAAAAACCGAGTCATATTGAGACTTGACTAGCTCACTCATTTCTTTGCTGTCATCTGTGTTGGACCCATCTTGTTTAAGTAAGGGCCCAATTCTGACTGTTGTTCTTGACTTTGATTTGGCATAAGAAAACAAATATTTTGGGTTTCTTTCAATTTTGTTTATGGCTTTTAGTTCTTCCTGCATATCTTGGCTCCTGTAAGATTCCTTTAACTTTAGTTCGATGCTTGCTATTTCTCTGACCAGTGTCTCCCTAAGTATTACAGATAAATTGGCCTCCATTAGCTACTTTGTTATTCTTTGCCTTCGCCTGTATAGGGAGCGTCTTTCTCTTTCTAGTTTACATCTTCTCTTTTTCCTTAAAGGAATATGCCTTGAGCATACCTCGAGTGCCACAGAGTTAATTTGTTCTAGACATAGGTTTGGATCCATGTTGCTTAGGCTATCTTCCCAGTTTATATCACTTAGGGCCTCGTTTACTTGGTTCCACCTTATGTTTTTGTTATTGAAGTTGAATTTGGTGAAGGCTCCCTTGTGATTGATCACATTTTGTCGGTCTGGGGCCCTGCACATACATGTCTGTACCTCTGTTATGTTGTGAACTGAGTATATATTGTTTTTGATATGGTAATACTGTATTTCGTATCAGATCATCATTGTTAGTGAAGATGAGGTCCAGTGTATTCTCCAGTCTTGTAGGCTCTATTATTTGCTGGCTTCAGGTGAATTTGGTGCAGAGATTTAAAAGCTCATGTGTGTGCGAGTTTTCATCTAAGCTGCCTCCTGGTGTTATCTCAGCTACAACGTTATTTGCTGCATTCTTCCATTTTAGGTGCCTTAGGTTGAAATCCCCCAGGAACAAGATGTTGAGGGCAGGAGCTGGAAGATTTTCCAAACAGTGATCAATTTTCAAAGGCTGTTCCTGGAATTGTTGGGAAGTTGCATCCAGAGGCTTGTATACAACCACAATGATCAGGTTTTGGTTCTCGATCTTTACTGCCAAAACTTCAACTACCTCATTTGAGGAATTTAGTAGTTCTGAGCATATACATGACTCTGTGATGTAAAGGCCAACCCCCTTTGCCTATTCACTCTGTCGCATCGGTATAGGTTGTAACCTGGAATCCATATTTCATTGTCAAGGTGATCCTTTATGTGGGTCTCTGTGAAAACTGCAAACATTGCATTTGACTCTGTAAGCAGTCCAGGGATGAAAGATATTTTGTTGTTCGTTGCTGGCTTTAGACCTTGTATATTTGCAAAGATGAATGTCGTCAGATTGGTGGTATGTGGGGGTCTTTTTCCTGGCAATAATATCTGTTGTTTTGGAGTGGAGGCCATTGACTGTGATTCCAGTCCAGAAATGATCGGAGTTGGTGTACGATTTCTGTCATTTCCTGCCAGCTTTTTTTTTTTTCCTTCCTGGTGCTAAAAAACCTCTCCCTCTGGAGTGGCTGTGGCTACCCAGGTTTTCCCATGGTCTGGATGTTTTGTATCATCTTGTCCCCTTTAGGTGGTGTGCCTGACAGTAGCACTGTCTTTCCTGAACTGAAGAGTAACACATTTCAGGGTGGAAAAGCTTACAGGAAGGGAGATTGTGTTTTCCTGTTATCATATGGGCATGACATTTTCTGGGGTGGTCAAAGTTACATGTCCCATCTGTTTTTACAGATATTGAATTATACTAATCTTGATATATATTATTACAGTGTATTGTATTGTGATGCTATAATGAATATTTTCAGCCTTTGATTTGGCAAAATACGGCAACACAGGAACTCCGGAGCGTCGTCATTCCATTACACTGTGTGAGACACCTTCACTGACCCACCAGTCCTCCACCTCCATCACTCCACCTTCCTCGCTTCCACAGTCAAGAAATCCATCTGCTCCCAGTTCTCCAGCACATCAAGATTTTATCTCATCTACGTCTCAGACACAGAGAGACTTTTTATCCTCGGTAAGGCTGACATACACGAATTACTGGTAGGCGTTCATGAATGTGATTTTCAAGTGCAATAGTGTATAGTGTTAAAGTTTTTTGTATTTTATCATAATTACAGTAAAATATTCAGTTACTGTAATTTACATGACTAAAAAATAAATTTGTTATTGCAGGCTCATTTCTCCACACGGCTCGACTGTCTGGCTCTCACTCTGGAGGAGGTGGTGCATATCCGTAATGTCCTGACCAAAGCTGATCTAGAGGCTCTCCCTCTTGATCTGACTATCAAGGAAGATATGGCCAAGGGAAAAATATGTTTCCTTTGCATGAAAACCAGATTTGGTTTCTTTGGTCCCCGAGGTACCAACTGCAGACTGTGTAAGAGAACAGTGTGTAAAAAGTGCATCTCAAAGGTAAGATATAGACTACTATATATTTGATGCTCTGAAGCATTGTTATATATAGTAGGGCCCCACTTATATGGCAAGTTAGGTTCCAGGCTACCGCCGGAAAGCGGACATTGCAGGAAAGCAGAACGCCATTTTTTCCACTTATAAATGCATATAAATGCCAGATAACAAGTTTACAGTAACATATATTAAGTTAGCAATAGAACCTGGCATTAAAAATATTAAAAAGTAAATTACACATACAGTACACTCATTACTTACCTTAAAATATTTGTAGTCTTAATGTAGAGTGAGAAGTGAGTAAACGAGGTAAAACAAATAAATGAGAGAGAGGGAAAACGACTAAATGAGAGAGGAGAGAGACGTGGTTTATATACCTAACATCTCATATTTGTGTTAATTTATTCTACTGTCGGGTGTATTTATCATGTTTATACATTATGTAGTGTGTTTATTGTATAATTTTTTAAAAAATATCATAGATGGATTAATGAAAATGTTTATATTAACATAATATATGACATTTAATGCGCCTCAGAGTGATTATTATTATTGCATATTCTTTCTTTCAACACACCAGCCGTATCCCACCGAGGCGGGGTGGCCCAAAAGGAAAAACAAAAGTTTCTCCTTTCACATTTAGTAATATATACAGGAGAAGGGGTTACTAGCCCCTTGCTCCTGGCATTTTAGTCGCCTCTTACAACACGCATAGCTTACGGAGGAAGAATTCTGTTCCACTTCCCCATGGAGATAAGAGGAAATAAACAAGAACAAGAGCTAGTAAGAAAATAGAAGAAAACCCAGAGGGGTGTGTATACATATGCTTGTACATGTATGTGTAGTGTGACCTAAGTGTAAGCAGAAGTAGCAAGACGTACCTGAAACCTTGCATGTTTATGAGACAGAAAAAAACACCAGCAATCCTACCATCGTGTAAAACAATTACAGGCTTACGTTTTACACTCACTTGGCAGGACGGTAGTACCTCCCTGGGCGGTTGCTGTCTACCAACCTACTACCTAGGTATTGCATATTATTATCATTATTAATATGGCATCCTCAAGACTAATAAGACACTTTTAGTGATTTTAATGTGTATGTGCATGCCAGCACAGTGTGTAAGTTTATTTAGGTAAAGGTACACAAGTATAATTATCAGAAATAACTTTATAACCCTGTAAATTTTGGAAAGTTTCCAGACACAACGGAGAGAGACAGTGCTCACAAAGCTCACGGGGAATGTAAACAAACTGGGTGGAGCATGGTGGCTGTGTTAGAAAGTCAAGTGGGGGAGTCGTATAGCAAGTTTTGGTCATAATTTGAAATGTGTATTAGCAGAATGCTGTAAGGCAAAATGCCATAAAATGGGGCCCTACTGTATCTTAAGACTATACCATAAATTCTTCCTCACCATAAGTACCATAGTAAGACACTGAAACAGCCACATGTGCTTCATCTTGTGTTCAGGAAATACTACCATATTTTTTTTATGGTACAACACATTGAAACTTGTAAGGAACATACCCAAATTTGTTAACTTTAATTTAGAGGAGTTTTCTTAGACATTTTTTAAGATGCTGTGTACAGCATCATTAGTTCACATGGCACTTTGTTCATTGAATCTTACATTTTTTGAACATGCAACTTACCAGAAAATTAAGTTTAGAATAGATGAATTCTTTTTTTTTTTTTTTTTTTCAGATTTAATTGTACACATTATTAGTTCATAGTGAGTGACCCGATATTCACATTACATTGTTTACTTAATTGCTTTGTCAGATTTTTAGCTACTTTGTTGCTTTACACTGTGGCAAAATCACAACAAGTAACCTGTTTTGCAGATGCGCATCCCAACAGAGCACTTCTCGAACATCCCAGTCCAGATGTTGACTCCTCAGGCATTGTCTCCCCGTGAGGACGAGGAAGATAACATATCGTTACCACGATCCATCCTCTCTAGACTTACGGTAATATTCTCCACCTATGACCTACATACTGTATTTAATGCTAGCTTTATAGTCTCAGATTGTCAAATAATACAATAAACTCTCAGTGAAATGGGCTAACAGTGGGGTGTGGATGGCTGGTAATGTCAAATGTGTTGGATAGAGATGATCATAATGACAGACAGTTCTGTAACCAATGAACTGGATGTACTATTTTCAAATCAATCTAGCTGATTTTGTTCTGTATTTCTGAAATCTTTTAAATTGAAGTCCTTTAAATTGAGGGTTTACTGTAATGACATTTTTGAGCAAGTAGTCATAGAGATTATACCTACTTGGTGTTGCTGATGACAGTATTAGAAATTATTTTACTTACTACATGTTCTGGTAGATCATTCAATACACTGCACTATTGTATATAAATTCAAGGTACAGTATAACTTTTGTATTAACTGTTTTTGTATAGGTGTTTAAAAATTTTTGTTGCTTTCATTTTGTTATTAATTATCAAGAAATAAAGGAGTGCATCTAATCCGTAAGTGGAAAATGGAAACATCTAAAAGCAGGTTATAACGAAGTAATTTTAATCATCATCATTTTTCCATACATCCACCAAAAAAAAAAAAAAAAAAAAAAAATCCTGGGAACAAGGATGGGCATATATTATATATAGTAATTCTCAGTGCTGTTAGAAACATAGTGAATAGTTCACCAAATATATATTGTATGGATGATTAGGGTGGTGGTACAATCTGTGTTTGTTTCATTGCTAAATATGCATGGGTTATGTAGATGTACATAATTTTGAAGAAATACAAAAATAAATTAAAAAATCATTTAAACAATTGCTTGGATTGGAATAAAGCTATATGGAAGGTTGCTGTGTTACAAGCTGCAAGAGGAAAATTTCAGCAAAATTGATTGGCAACATATCTTTGTAACCCTGGACCAAATTATAGCTTTAACAGGTGAGAGATGGCCACACCGCCTCGTTTTATCCACTTCCATATACATATACAGTACTGTAGTATGTTGCACTGTACTTGGTAGCATACCATAATCTCTGCATTCTAATAAGTCACAAAGTAATAACATATAACAGAGCCCAAAATTCTTGTAAATTACTTCTGGAATTACTATTTTAAATAAAGTGGAAAAATAACTTGGTTTGGTCTAGTACATGGTGGTATTTTTTAAGATTTTTTGTAGTGAAATTATTATTTATGGAATGCTTCACATTATCATATTTACACTTTAAATAAACAAAATAATTAGGATATTACTGGAGTGAAAATATTCATATATACAATATATATTTTTGCGTGGATGTAGTGCGGATGACAAGAAACAGATGATTGCTGATGTTATGAATGAAAAGAAGTTGGATGTCCTGGCCCTAAGTGAAACAAAGCTGAAGGGGGTAGGGGAGTTTCAGTGGGGGGAAATAAATGGGATTAAATCTGGAGTATCTGAGAGAGTTAGAGCAAAGGAAGGGGTAGCAGTAATGTTAAATGATCAGTTATGGAAGGAGAATAAGAGAATATGAATGTGTAAATTCAAGAATTATGTGGATTAAAGTAAAGATTGGATGTGAAAAGTGGGTCATAATAAGCGTGTATGCACCTGGAGAAGAGAAGAATGTAGAGGAGAGAGAGAGATTTTGGGAGATGTTAAGTGAATGTATAGGAGCCTTTGAACCAAGTGAGAGAGTAATTGTGGTAGGGGATCTGAATGCTAAAGTAGGAGAAACTTTTAGAGAGGGTGTGGTAGGTAAGTTTGGGGTGCCAGGTGTAAATAATAATGGGAACCCTTTGATTGAACTTTGCATAGAAAGGGGTTTAGTTATAGGTAATACATATTTTAAGAAAAAGAGGATAAATAAGTATACAAGATATGATGTAGGGCAAAATGACAGTAGTTTGTTGGATTATGTATTGGTAGATAAAAGACTGTTGAGTAGACTTCAGGATGTACATGTTTATAGAGGGGCCACAGATATATCAGATCACTTTCTAGTTGTAGCTACACTGAGAGTAAAAGGTAGATGGGGTACAAGGAGAATAGAAGCATCAGGGAAGAGAGAGGTGAAGGTTTATAAACTAAAAGAGGAGGCAGTTAGGGTAAGATATAAACAGCTATTGGAGGATAGATGGGCTAATGAGAGCATAGGCAATGGGGTCGAAGAGGTATGGGGTAGGTTTTAAAATGTAGTGTTAGAGTGTTCAGCAGAAGTTTGTGCTTACAGGAAAGTGGGTGCGGGAGGAAAGAGGAGTGATTGGTGGAATGATGATGTAAAGAGAGCAGTAAGGGAGAAAAAGTTAGCATATGAGAAGTTTTTACAAAGTAGAAGTGATGCAAGGAGGGAAGAGATTAGGTGATGAAAGATTGGATATCAGATTGGAGGGAGAGAGTATGGAGGAGGTGAATGTATTCAGATATTTGGGAGTGGACGTGTCAGCGGATGGGTCTATGAAAGATGAGGTGAATCATAGAATTGATGAGGGGAAAAGGGTGAGTGGTGCACTTAGGAGTCTGTGGAGACAAAGAACTTTGTCCTTGGAGGCAAAGAGGGGAATGTATGAGAGTATAGTTTTACCAACGCTCTTATATGGGTGTGAAGCATGGGTGATGAATGTTGCAGTGAGGAGAAGGCTGGAGGCAGTGGAGATGTCATGTCTGAGGGCAATGTGTGGTGTGAATATAATGCAGAGAATTCGTAGTTTGGAAGTTAGGAGGAGGTGCGGGATTGCCAAAACTGTTGTCCAGAGGGCTGAGGAAGGGTTGTTGAGGTGGTTCAGACATGTAGAGAGAATGGAGCGAAACAGAGTGACTTCAAGAGTGTATCAGTCTGTAGTGGAAGGAAGGCGGGGTAGGGGTCGGCCTAGGAAGGGTTGGAGGGAGGGGGTAAAGGAGGTTTTGTGTGTGAGGGGCTTGGACTTCCAGCAGGCATGCGTGAGCATGTTTGATAGGAGTGAATGGAGACAAATGGTTTTTAATACTTGACGTGCTGTTGGAGTGTGAGCAAAGTAACATTTATGAAGGGGTTCAGGGAAACCGGCAGGCCGGACTTGAGTCCTGGAGATGGGAAGTACAGTGCCTGCACTCTGAAGGAGGGGTGTTAATGTTGCAGTTTAAAAACTGTAGTGTAAAGCACCCTTCTGGCAAGACAGTGATGGAGTGAATGATGGTGAAAGTTTTTCTTTTTCGGGCCACCCTGCCTTGGTGGGAATCGGCCAGTGTGATAATAAAAAAAAAAATATTTTTGCTTTACTATTAGTTATTTATTAGCCATGTAGTTAATAACATTTTTATCAGAAAATATTAAGGATAGGTAGAAATTCACATTGTGAATTATTAAAAAAAAAAAGGTAGAAATTTATTGTAGATTAAATAGTTGTCTGGAAACACCTATTTCAATAGTTATGCAGCATTTTTGTTGGTAGTGTTAACTCGTGTAAAATATTCTCACACTAGGGTAAGTCTTGCAGTTAGAAAATCCACTGTATTTGTTCTTACTGTTGGTTTCAGTACCAGGTACAGTGACCAAGGTGCAGACTGAATGCTCCAAATGTTTTCTAGATAATTCTGTGTCTTGTTTAATTATTTTATACTGTAAGTGATGCATTGACCACTAGTTCAGAATCATGAAGAGAAAGCAAGTTTTGTTAGTCATAAGCAGCCGGGAAAGTAGAAAGCGCGAAAGCCACTTTTTCTCTGTGACATTTCAAAATGTCGAATTTTATGTACACGGTAGTCTGCTGATTTAAATTGATAGAACTGCAAGATAATAAATTTTACCCATTTTGAAATACTTGTAGAAGTTAAGTCAAAATTAATTGTAGCTGGAAAAGTGAGTTTTTAAGTGCTAATGATTATAGTTGTTGAAGTGTCGTAGTCACCTTGTCGGAGACTTAGTAAAGAGACACTTTCTTTACAGTTTAACATCTCAGAACACATCGTTAAGCGTATTCAGGTAACAGAGCATGGAGAACAAACAACAAGTGATCACATCCTGTCTCAGGTACACTCAGGAGGCTAAGCATAACAGAGATTTTTATTACAGAAGCAAGCTTGTGTTCCAATACTGGCAGATCCTTATATTGTTTTCAACTCCCAGCTTTTTGATGCTTGCTTTTTAACCTGATGCAAAACTTGGGTTGAACAAATCATATGTATATATGTATATAGTACACTGGATGGATGCTAATAGTGCTTGTCATTTGAGTGTAATATTTCAGTCTGTCTTGTACTTAGAATACTATACAAGAATTTTTAAAATAGCATTCAAAAGACAGCCATTTAGCATTACATGGTATTATGAAGAAAATTAACAAATCTGCTTTCAGTTTAGACAAAGTATTATAACATACTTCTTTAGGAGAGTCAGTTTCCTAAGCAGCTTCTTGTGCATGTGTCCAAACTGCAGTAGTGTGTACCACAGTTGTTGAGTGAATGCATGTACACTCTAATATCATAGTTTCTGCTCTATATATCATAGCATGTTTCTTGTTGCTACAGCAACCAGTATATTTTTTATAACAAAAAAGTTGAAGTTGAGGTTGCTAAATAACATTTAAGCCTGATGGTACTTATATTGATATATTATGCAGTATATACTTAGCCCAAAGGCAGATTTTTTGTGAATATTTTTTTTATGTACAGTACCTTGAGATACAGCTGCAGCTTATGCTAATAATCTACCACTATAAGGATCTGGCATGAATATAAGTATCAGTGATACATATACAGTATTATCTTCCTTCAAGATTTTTGTTTTTGAATAAGGGGTACTCATTAAAAGTGAAATTGATTTATGTAATTTTATTATTTTAGGAGCTGCCTCTCCCTGGAAGTAGCAGTGCCGGGGTGAGTGGAGAACGGCGAAGCAGCATCACTGGTAGTGTAGGATCAGCACCATCATCTCCGACTCTCTCTCGGACTGATGGACCACTATCCTTGCCCACGCAGCCAGCAGCACCCTATGTAAATGAGGCTATCAAGAAGTAAGTGCAGATGCAAAAATAATAATTTCTTTAATTAATATTTGCATGTTTCTTTTAAATGGACTCTATAAGTTTTCATCATGCAAATTTTCAACACAAGAAATTACATAAATTAATGGAGAATTGTGTGTTTTATTTGTGCGTTTTAAGCGAAAATAGTTTTTTTTTTTAATACGTACATCAATTTTACATGCTAAGAGCTTTTATCCTACCTCAGCTTATTTCAAAGCCCAGCTCTATCCAAGGTATACTACCACCCCCAGGATGTGACCCCACAACAATCGACTAACACTCGGGTACCAACTTACTAGTAGGTGAACAAGGACAACAGGTGTGAGGAAACATGTCCAACATTTTTGCCCATGCAGATCAAGCCATACCACAGGTGGGGTTTGAACCCACAGTCAGAGTGTCTCAAAACTCCAGATGGTCTGGAGTTTTGAGACTGAAGAATTGAGACACTTATGCAACATATGGGAATCTTTATTGAAGAAACGTTTCGCCACACAGTGGCTTCATCAGTCCAATACAAAGTAGAAGTGGGTAAGGAGAGTAGAAGTTTGAGGTAATCAGTCCCTCAACCTGGAATCGATGTGTTCAGTCCATCACTCTTGTAGGAAGTGCAGCATAGGGCCAGAGAGGTGGCTTATATACTGCGGTGAGATGAGTTGAAGCAGGAAGAGGCGGGATCACAGTGGGACCTGCCACTAGTGTAAGTAGGTCGTCGCCCAAAGGTTGGGCAAGCGTTGAAGTCTTTGTACCAAGATCCCATGATAAAGATTCCCATATGTTGCATAAGTGTCTCAATTCTTCAACTTGTCGGTTTTCAAAACCATTCATCACAGTTTTGAGACTGACTGCGGGTTCAAATCCCACCTGTGGTATGGTTGGTTTGCAATTGTGTCATTACGATTTCACGAGTCAGGAGATCAAGCCATGGAGAATCAGTGTGTTAGCTGGGTGTGCTGCCAACCGAGCAGTGGGTTGTATAAGATGTGCATTCATCTTTCTTTCATAGGCCTGAATTGTCTTAATCCTTCTCAAATGGAAATCACCAGTATGTGTAACTCAAGAAGACGGCATATTTAAAGACTTTTGGTTGAAAAGTTGCCCTATTCTGTGACGTTCTTATTTTGAGATGTATTCATGTCAAATCATACAGTTAATGAATGTAAGTTTAAGGATAAGCATGAACATATCTATAGAGTGAAATATGGATGATGAAATTTAATGTTGTATGATAAATACCACATGGAAATAGCTGAAAGTTCAGATTATACCTCTGTAATAAAATGTTAAAAACATTGAATTTATGAAGAATACCTTAGAGTGATTGTTACAGATAAGTTATAAATTAGACACATGTGCAACTCTTGGGTATCTTTATTGAGGAAACGTTTCGCCACACAGTGGCTTCATCAGTCCATACAAAGGAGAATCTTGAAGAACAGGAGGAGAATGAGGTAATCAGTCCCTCAACCTTGAGTCGATGTGGTCAGTCCATCAATCTATTGATGGACTGACCACATCGACTCAAGGTTGAGGGACTGATTACCTCATTCTCCTCCTGTTCTTCAAGATTCTCCTTTGTATAGACTGATGAAGCCACTGTGTGGCGAAACGTTTCCTCAATAAAGATACCCAAGAGTTGCACATGTGTCTAATTTATCAACATGTCGGTTCTCTGAACCATTCATCTACAGATAAGTTATAACCAGTATATCACAAATATAGTGGGAAGAAATTTTTTTATGATAAACCAGACTGGCTAAAACAATTTTTAAATAAATTTGAATATATGGACGGTGAAATGCTGAATTTTTTAATACAATATATAAAAATTTAAATATGCAGGTGTGGTAGGGTGCACACACCTTACAAAACTTAGTTAAATGGAACAAGTTTAAAGATGGGAGTAGGAATAATGTGATAACTACATCAGAATTGATGAAAGAATACAAAAAATGAGATAAAGGATTTTTTTGTGCCAACAATACGAAGAACAATGAGATCACAACATTAACCCTTTGAGTGTTGCAAGCTCATTTCTGAAACTGTCATTCTATGTTGCAAAATTTTTGGAAAAAAAAATTATCTTATGAAATGATAGAGAATCTTTTCCCGATGGTAATGCCACCAAAAGTACGAAATTTGATTGAAAACTCACGGAATTACGCTCCCGCGAAGTTAGCGATCTCGGCAATGTATACGCATCGGGGATTTCACCAACTTTTCAACTACCCAGTAAAGTGGTCAGAAATTGGCAATTTGGCCAATTTCACGCAAATTAAAAAAGATGCTAATTTCAAAATAGGGTCCAGAATAAACAATGTAGATATTCTTGGCACTAAAATAACATATCCTCTGTTCATTAGTCATGTCTCCAGGCCCCTCTTATATTAAATAACAAAAAAGGCACAATACCGTGACTGGAACGATACACAAATACACAAGTCGGACTGAAACGTCGTCGTAAGCTTCTCTCTTTTATGTGCAGGTTATTTGTGTAACCCTCTTATATTACTCTTGCTTTCTATTTTGATTTTTTTTTCACACAAAAAAATAGTAGATTTACTGTTATGCTGACTACTGCATTATTGTAAAAAGTGGTATAAATAATATCAGTGCACTAATGAAAGAATATTAGACTCCCCAATTGACGTGTATTGGATATGTTGTGTGATTTGCTTACCCTTGAACATTGGTAAAAATCGAACATTTCTACTACTTTGAGCTCAATTTCAAGGTCATTTTCATCGTGAAAGTAATCAAAATCATCTCTATTTCTGTAATATGTTTTCCATTCTATCAAATGAGATCAAGAAAATGAATACAACCATAAATACTATATGAAAATACACCTCAAAGTCAGCATTTTAATCAAAAAAACACAGCCGGAGTTTTTTTTTCTCATTATGCACTGTGTGCTGCAGGATTTTTTTTATACAGTGCACACTGACCACTCAGACCCATTCTCTTACATGTGGGCCTACCAGCTTTCTCCTGCTTGATTTGAAGCTGCTAGAATTATTGAGTATACGTATATACGTCCAAAACAGTCAAAGGGTTAAATTGCATAAGAAGCAATGTAGGAGCGTTGGAAAAATTGTCTTTACCAATAGAATATATAGTAGATGCCTTGGAATGAAATATATGATGATGTATGCTCCCAAAAATTTGAAATTTTAAAAACTTGGATGATACAATTATATCAGAAGATGGTGCACCAGGAGCATAATTTTTATTCTTGTAACTACAGGTAGTTAAATATTAAGCAATTAGATAATTACACACTGTCAGGGTGAGACAAATAGGTAACTCTCCTCAAACCTCTTGCCCCCGTTCACCTGTTAGTAAATATAGGTTTGTACCCGAGAGTTGGCTGACTATTTTAGATCACATCCTGGGGTGGGGGGAAAGGTCATACGCAAATAATAATGAAGACAGGATTCCCTGAACATGGCCATGCTTCTGTATCACTACTTGTTTTGGTAGAAATAGGTTATCTCACATCGATAGTGAGTCTGAAATAAAAGATAGCCAGCAGTCCTATGTTAGTAACACTTGGGATGTGTCAAAGTATCAGTTTGTATCAGTCAATTTGGATGGTATGGATACTGGCCTAAAACTGAGTATTGGTATCAGTGAATACTGGCTAGTTTTGGTGGTACAGTATTGGTACCAAAATTAGCTGATACTAATATTGGCCTAAAACTAATCTATCAGGGTCAATAAAAAAATTTGGTATCGTCCCATCCTTAATTAACACTGAGATCAATAATGAAGAATAAGTTAACACACATAACTCACACATAGGAGAGAGAAACTTACAACGACATTACAGTCCAACTTGAGTCATTTACAAAGTCACACTAAGTTAATTGGACCAAAACGTCTTCATAAGCTTTTATCTCCTATGTGTGGGTTATTTGTGTATTTTTCCATCAAAGATATAGCAATTAAACAAGACTTGTCAAATGTGGAGGAATTAAAAATAAAAGAATATGTGAAAACTGCCACAAAAGCAATGAAGATGAATGAGAAAGAAAAAGAACAACTATTTTGTTTATACAGTAACACATCTGGAATATATTTGTTTAAATTTATTGTTTAATGTTATTTACAATGAATTTATAACAGAAGAAAGGATGTGATTAGCTGGAGAGTCATAGTAACTGTAATGTCGGAGCTCTTCTGGCAAGGAAGTGATTGAATGAGTTGCAATGAGAATTGTCATTGTTGGGTCACCCTACCTTGGAAAAGACCACTGTTAAAAAATTAGTTCTAATGTACAGAAAACAAGAGTTCACATTTAAGATTGCAAATAAAAGTGGTGCAGAAAAGATAATGTGGGTCTCAAGAAGACTTATTAAGTACTACAACCACTGAAAAAGTTTGAAAATACGTACATAAGATCGTTTAATGATTTACCACAAGTATAGATCTGTTCCTGTAACTACAAGTGAGCACTGTAATCACAAATAAGTAATCACACAATATTGTCTTTATACACCATCCATCTCTCACAAGGTAGGGTGAACCCAAAAAGTAAATGCATTCATGGTCATTTATTCAATAGCTGTTTTGCCAGAAGTGTGCAGATGTGAACCATCCACCTCAGTTTAATAAAACCCACATCAACCCTCTCCACTCTCTTTCGTGTTAACAAAAAAGTACTACCATAATGTAAAGGAAGTACAATAGAAAAATGAAGTTTTTGGCATATTTGGAGGTGTTTGAAATGTACTCCTGTTTTTCTCTTACGTTTTTCACTTTGTGTGATGCAGTTCTTACATTATGCGCTGATTTTTCAGGAACGTAACCAAGAGGCTATATGCTCTGCCTTTTTGTATTAAGATTGTTGTATCTCTGCTTCATGCAATAATGTTTGCTTTTCATGTAACTGTCTGATTAAATATTTGTTTGCATGTAAATATGTGCCTGCTACAATATTTGTTTGCATGTAAGTATGTACCTGCTACAATGTGTATGTTTGCATGTAAATGTGTGCCTGGTGCAATGCTTAATATATATGCACGTTTGTCCTAGACGCCTTCTTAGGAACCGTCACGTACAACGGGCAAAGACAATTGGTATCCTGGAGGGTAAAAGTCGTCGCTCCTTACCATATGTCAAGTTAGTCAATGTGTACAGTATTTCTTTTGACACCCTATTTTTCAATTAGAGTTGAAATTACATTAATGATAGTCATGAAAATCACAAACTTATTCGGTGCATATGAAATACAGTAATCCCTTAATGCATTTAAGTTCTATACTTTCAAATTTCTACAATTTTATGTTTTTTTCTTGTGGATTGTCTGTGAATATTTCCTACATTTGCTGCTAAGAGAGTATTGCCTTTTGTTGTGAAATGCAAACACATGAAGGAAAAAATTAATTTATTTAATACAGTATTTTGTATAATAGTTCTCAAATTGAGTCACTTGTGTTTTTTTCCTGTCTCAATATGCCTGATTGCTTGCTTCATATTTGGTACACTTTTGTATATAGGTTGTTGATACTTGTGCGGTAGATTCATAAATTTTTTTTAGCTTGGCCTAATTCCCCAAATTGAAAATTAAGCAGAGAATAATTTTGAAACTGTACTCAGTGGATTCCTACCTATGTAGATTTTAAAAATTATTTACCCTTAAATATACTCTTTAATAAGTAAATGTCAATACTAATGAGGGTGAAGTAATATTTAAAGAAATCTGATCTCACAATGAGACATAATCAGAAAAAAAAATTATTTACACTACACCGAGAGCAATTATTAGTATTCGTGGTTTCAGGATTTGCTGGGACATCTTAGAACTTACCCCATGTAAATGTGAAGGGATTACTGTATTACTATTAAAATTTATGTTAAAATTCTTAGATAAATTTAAAGTGTGTTCATAACATTATTGCAGAGTACTTGGGCAGATAAGCTTAGGAAGTGATTCAATATTAAGATGTAATAATATTGTACTTTGTTGGTCATTCACTAAGATATATGATCTTTGTCCATGTACATATGTATGTACATTTATAATTGCAATTCATGTCTTTTTTTTTTGTGGGTGTAGTGTGTTGGTGGGGGATAACCAATGTGTTAAAAAAAAACCTTGTCTGCATTATTGCTTCATGTATATTATAATAATATAGAGTAAATAGTCAAAATACCATGACTGGAACAATTCATAAATAGTTCACAATTCTGTGAGGAAAGTTTAGAAAACATTTCAGCCCGTGCTGGAACAACAAGTTGTTATCAGGTAACCGTTCATAATGTACCAAAAATTATTGTCTAAAGTTTCCTCTTGAAATTGTGAGTTAATTGTGAATAATAATGGTCTTGATTCTATAACTATTAATGTAAAGAGGTTGCCAAAGTAAGCTTTGCTTCAAACTGATGGTATAGCTTTGTATACTGCTTATATACATACCATATATTCTTTGTTCTCTGCATGTTACTGTTTTATTTTCTTTTTAGCAACAAAAAGTTAGTATATCCTGCATGCTCTATCTGTATTAAGCTTTGCATGATATATCTACCTCTGTAAGGCCCAAGCTGGGACGTGCCAACACCCTGTCAGTTATCGAGTGCCGTACTGTGCAACAGCGACTAATGGAGGAGTAAGTTGTGCATATCATATATAATACAGTGGACCCCCGGTTAACGATATTTTTCACTCCAGAAGTATGTTCAGGTGCCAGTACTGACCGAATTTGTTCCAATAAGGAATATTGTGAAGTAGATTAGTCCATTTCAGACCCCCAAACATACACGTACAAACGCACTTACATAAATACACTTACATAATTGGTCGCATTCGGAGGTAATCGTTATGCGGGGGTCCACTGTATTGTGCAGAGGTTTTAACTTATTCTCAGTCACACTTCCTATCACAGTTGGTGCTCATCTCCACTCCCTCCTTCATATAAAATTCTAAATGTAAAAAAATAAAAAATCCTTTTTATTTAAATAGGAAAATTAAGATACTGTACTAGTTTTCATTCTTAACTTTATTATTTTAACTACTCAGTAAAGTGTATTTTAAGGAGCAAATCACAAATGCTTTCCCTGGAAATTACTGCCTCTCTCCTTCCCTGGTTAACAACTCCTGGTCTCGTGAGATTTTTATATTAATTACAGGTAAAGTTCTGATGGTTAAACAATGTATAGGATGCAAATTATAAATAATAATGATAGATAAAGGTGCCTAGTTTTCACACATTTCTTAAAAGCTTAATAAGGCATGATGATCCATTCAGGAATTCATGCTGGTACTCTGTGAGGAATCCAGTAACTTGTTACATTCATTAGAGACACTGGTCTGTGTGTGTGTGTATTATTCTTAAGTTAAAACAAAATATAAAAGAAATGTTTAGGTCTAGAAAGAAAACATTAAATATAAATGTCTTAATTGTGTTATTCTTTGTGGTACAGATTTTTGGGAGAATATATGACAGTTCAACCAGTGATGTTTACATATATAATTAACATAGTCTAAAATGAGAATTTTCAACAACAGGAAACAGAAGCAGCGATCTCGGACAACACAGGTTGAGGAGCATCTGCGTGGAGAGCTAATGTCTGTGTGTGGAGACTGTAAAGCCATGGTACTGCACATCCTGGCATCCATCAAAGTGCGGCGAGAGCAACAAATGAGTGGATCAGCTCTACACGAGTCACCTCGTCATCATCTACATCTTAACCTTAACCCTGTATACCACTAAGGGATATTGGTCCTTTTGCTGGTAATGTTTTATTACAGTATTGTCATTATGGCACTATTTACATCAAAACTTTTTCAATTATGAAGGTTCCTGTAATACCTTGATTTAAAATTTTCTCTATATGTGCTTAGTACTGAGCCATTATCTTCTATGTTATATAGTTTGAATGTGGCTATAATCCTAACTAGTCTGTTATGGAGACTCAGCCTATCATTAACCCCTAAATATTTTGCCTGCAGTACTCTGCTGTTTTAAAACTGAAATAAATAACTTATAGAGAATAATATAATCAGTTCTAATACAGTTTTAGTACCCACAACCCTGTATACAAGAATATCCAGCATGCTCAGTAGTATCCTTCATTACCTTACTCATACTCTGTTACCTCTTAAACAATGTTGTATGATCTTTGTGTACTGGTAATTGAGATTACTTTTTCAATAACCTCTCATTATGCAGTTACTTAAAATATCACAGTAGCTTCTGTGCAATTTTGAAGTTATTCGGATATTTAAAAATAGTTTTTTTCTGCATTCTTGCCAGAACAGAGTATTAGTGTGAATACTTATTGCAGTATCATCTCTGACAAAAATATTTGTATGTGGTTGCCAAATGTAGTCTGAGCATACTTATCAGAGATCTCTGAATTATTCATATTTCAAGAAACTAAACTGTAATAATATATGTATTGTAAGAACTTCATTTTCTCCTGATAAATGGATACTCAGACAGTAGAGTATGTTGAAGAATAGTTTGGGGGTTTGGTGTTGATGTCACCTCTTGATTATCTGCTTGCTGCTCAGCGGTGTATAATGGTGCACATTAAGCTCTTGATTGTATGATACCGAGAAATATCTTAATGGTGCATATATTTGAAATTCTTGATTGTATGCTACTTAAAAATGTCTTAATGGTGCATATATTGGATGTCACCTCTTGGCTGGATGCTACTGAGATATGGTTAATGGTGCAAATATTTAAAAGAAATTTTGCCAGGTTTACATATTAATATTTTTTTTGTGTACAGCACCTAACAAAATAAGGCATATTTAACACAATACTATTTTTTCATGAAATTCACTCATATTTAAATGATTCTGAAAATTGGATTTGGTACTATATGAAATTAAGCTTTTATTTCATAACTGGAGTTTATGCTTGGGATTAATTTGACTATCTGCTCTATTTAATGATCCCATTGCATTATATATTTTTATATATTTTAATTGTATAAATTTAGATAGATTCATCTGGTGGTTACAGTATGTTATGATTTTGAAAAGGATTGCCCACTTTTGTGAATATTTTCTTTGTCCTTATGTACAGTAATACAAAATTAATCCCAGTTCCACCCTATCATCTGTAGGTATTTTACTATGTGGATTAATAATTTAATGTAAACCGATTAATTGTGATGAGCAAATGTTGTTATTCAGAAATGTGCACCAACGTGCATGGGTCACACAGACCTGCAGATGAGAAAACGGTAACAATGAGCCAGGAAGGTCAGTTCGGGTTGTCCTTCACATGTACAGTAGTAACTAATATTGACTTCATATTGAAGTCAAGATACATTATAATTATATAGAAAATTTAAATGTGGTATTACAAATGTATTGCATAATTCTTTTGTGAAATGCAGCCAATTACATTCCAAATTATATTTGTAAATGACAGATTAGTTAAGGTCTACTGTTGACTTGGCAAAGCCAAATTATAGAAGTAGACATTGTGTGTGTGAGCTGTCATTTGCCTTTAATCTGTCATGTAAGCCTATGATTTGGATTAATTTATCTCCATTATTGTACATAGTATACATACATATATATTTTTGACTTGTAAATACTTTTCATTTTGTTATTAGATAAGAATGTGCAAACGTTAAGGAGTTGCATTTTCATTCTCCAGTGATTTGTCAATAAAATTTTATAACTAGACATTTTGGCTAAATGTTTCAATGTGAACTTTAGTTTTGAGGTGTTTAGCAAGCAACACTTTGATATATTTATGTTTGTCACCATTCTGATACCTGTGCCTCTATCACTATCTTGATACTTGCACCTCTTATCAACTGTATCTTGATATTTGCACATCTGTCATCATTAAGATTTATGTTTACCATCATTATACTTGCCCCTTCACCTTTATTACTGTACATCCCATTATTATAGGTATGTTTGCTTTTTGATTTGTGTTCTCAGGACTAGCAGTTTTTTTTTTACCCCCTCTACTGCAGTGTTACCGAAGACTTCAAATACGGACTGTTTGTTTAGTTGCCAAGTTGCATCTATTGTCTTCAGCACAAATTAATTTTTTGGCAACAGCCATATTACTGCAGTTATTCCCTCAAGGGAGCTTCCCTGATGTTTATTACTACTACATTCATTTCCTCAAGGGAGGTTCCCTGATGTTATTCATGCCCCCAGAGGAGGGGTTGTTAGTTCAAGGAATTTGCTTTGTCTCCCTTTCATTGGATTGAACCAGATTGCCTCCCATTTCCCAGGTGCTGTATGACTCCTACAGGTTTAGTGCTTCCCTCTAAATATAATTACTGCATTCATGGAGGGGAGCATTAAACCTCTAGGATTATACAATGCTGGAGAAATTGGAGGTAATCAGACCTGATTCAAGGGAAGACAAATTTCAGTTCCTTGAACCCCCTCACCAGCATTAAGGCTTGAAGAACACAATATGTTGTCATTGGTACAATGTACCTGTATTATGAACAGTCATACCTCCTTTGTTGCATTATAAATGCATTCATGGGTAGGGAAGAGCATTAAACTAGTAAGGGCCATATGGCACCTTGGGAAATGGAAGGTAATCTGGTTTGATTCGGGGGAAAGGGAAGTTGTGTTCAATGCCTTTGATCAAGAATCACTGGCATTAAGGAACCTCCCTTCAGGGTCCTTTATCTCAAGTATGACAGTAATACAGTCTGTAATCTACAGATTACACTTGTTAAAACAAATGTACGTTCACTGTGATGGCGCTGTATAGTCCTTGTGGCTTAGCGCTTCTTTTTGATTATAATAATAATAATCACTGTGATGGCAGTTTGAGGGGGTAATTAGTGTTGGAATGATAATTTTGTAAGTCATTTATTTGTAGAGTAATTACAATTTGCATTTTCTTGTTTATTAAGTACCTAATATTTAAATTTCAGCAAGCCTGATGACTTTGATATAATGCATAGCTTCTGGAATATGGATAACAGCTGTAAGTGTAATACAAATTTTATATTGTAACAATAATGTTAGTCATAAAAAAAAAAAACTGGTCTGGGTGATATATTATTATTATTATTATAATCAAGGGGGAAGCACTAAACCCGTAGGATTATACAGCGCCTATGGGGGGATGGAAGGCATTCAGGCTTAATTCAGGGAACTGGAGCACAGATCCAATTCCCTAGATCAAGAGCCCCTCACCAGCGTCAAGGAGCCTTCCTTGAGGGGCTGGGTGATATAAAATGTGGAAAACACTGTACATTTAATACTATTGAACTCGAGTCTCTCAGAGCTTGGCAGAAATATTTTAGTATGTACAAGCTTATATTCAACCTCTGAGTCCCAGACTAAAAAATAGAGGAAAAAAAAAACAGTCTCAATAAAGATCATTAAAAAATCCACACTTAAAGGAACCTTAATGTTTTAGCCCATCCTGTACCATTAAGTTACAATTGACACTACAAGAAAGGGCAGGAAATGGTAGTAGTAGAGGTAGCATTAATAAAAGTAATGGTGAGTAGTAGTGAACAAAAGAAGAGCATGACACAAGCTCAACTGGTCCATGCTAGATAAAACTAGTAATTACATTTGAAGGCAGTGGTGATTGTAGTAGTATCTCAGCACATTAATACCTGTCACCCAGGAGGCAGAGAACTGCAGTAGGCCAACTGGCCTAAGGCTGAAAAAGGAAACAGAGGAAAGTAAGGTCAGATTGAGTGTTCTGAAGATTAGAGCTGTTGATAGTATGTTGAGGAAGGTAAGCATCTACAGGAAAATTGTGTATTATATGGTCCTCAGGGAGAGTCATGAACTCTGACATGACAGAAAAGAGCATTGTTGGCTAGGTGAACACTTTTGTGCTCCTTAAGTCTGTGAGAAAGGGAGTGGCCAGTTTTACAAAAGTATGAACAAGGTTTCTGTGAAGGGTATTAGTTAATGAAAATCAAGTTTGATATATAGAGGATATTAAGATTTTGAAGATTAGAAGTGTAGGGAAGGCAAAGAACAGATCTTACAGGAGTTTGGGATAGAAGAAAGCCCATGGCTTTCCTTACATTTCCCATCTTCATAAATCTTAACCACCACCTCTGTCCTCTTGATATCAAACAATTTTTTTTTTTGTCAAAGTAATACCATTAGCAGTAATTTTGTTCATACTTCTGTCATTGATGCTTCTGGTGTCAGCTCCATTTCCTGCTCCTCTTATCCTCAACAATACTTTGGTAAAACTGGACACTCCTCCTCTGACAGATTTAAAAGGGTTTGCCTTGTCATTATTAACAATGCTCTTTTCTGTCATGTCAAAGATCACAGCCATCCTATTAGCTAGTTCTGTACTAAAACTATCTATCCTTTTAACCTTTGAGAATGTCTTGTCAAATCAGCCCTTAAACAAAACTTTTCTATAGATGCTTACCTTCCTCAGTATATTGTCCAAAACATTAGTGACAACCTGACCTTTGCTGCTACATCTCCTTTTCTTCTGGCTTTCCTTTTTCTTTATTAGCTTGGACTAGTTGGCCTGCCGCAGTTCTTTTCTACCTCACTGGGGACATGCCGAGAATCTCCACTGCCTTGAAATGTAATTCACTTTCTTTACTTCATCAGTCTTGCCTAGCATGGGTCAGCAGATCTGCAGTGCTCCTCTGTTCTTTTGCTCTTATGTACTACTACTACCACCACACACACTACTATTGCTGCTAATTCTACCACCACAACTCCTTGCTTCCCTGTCACCACCTGTAGTTTCTTCCGACTTTCTCTACTCTTCTTGCTTCAGTTGTGACATGACACCCCTCAAGGAAGGTTCCTTGTTGTTGGTGAGGGGCTCTTGATTTAGGGAATTGGATCTGTGCTCCTGTTCCCCGAATTAAGCCTGAATGCCTTCCACATCCCCCCCCCCCAGGCGCTGTATAATCCTCCGGGTTTAGCGCTTCCCCCTTGATTATAATAATAATGTGACATGACAATTGTCCAGGACAGACTGAAACACCATAGTTTTTTTAAGAGCAGGTTCTTGAACAGAAAAAATGACTATGTGGAGTATCACTGTACAGACTCGAGCTACTACCCTGAAAACTATAAAAGTTTTATTAGCTGTATCAAGTAAATTTTAGTAACTTGCACTGCAGTATTTTTTCCATCCACTAAAAAGAGAGAAGTTATAAATGCATTGCCAATGCAACTGGTTTTATAGTAGCTTATGAAACCTAAACTAAATTTAAGTATCTGAATTAAATTATTTGCAACTTGCATAAGCATTATAATATGTTTACAAGCTACTGATATACATTATTATTATTATTACAATCAAGGGGGAAGCGCTAAACCCGGAGGATTATACAGCGCCTGGGGGGGGGATGTGGAAGGCATTCAGGCTTAATTTGGGGAACTGGAGCACAGATCCAATTCCCTAAATCAAGAGCCCCTCACCAACATCAAGGAACCTTCCTTGAGGGGTACTGATATACAGCATCTCTCAAATCTTTATAAGTCACTACAACTTAATGAAAACCATAAAATATGTCAGTTCATCTTGGTTTTGTCAAGTCCAGGTATGACTGAGAGAGAATCCTGTTGACTTAATTTTTAAGGTCACTGTACATCAATTAACTCCGAAACTTGACTAATTCCCGTTACCTAATTCTTCTGACACATTTAAAATGATATAAATGTGGAGAATAATGTACTGTACATTTGCTATCAGTGATGATAAATCTGCTATAGTTACAAATACACACTTACAACACAAAATCCAGAATCTAGCAATTAACACCAGGACACTAAACTGTAGGATGAAAAAATAGTAGCATTGAAACAAGTTTTACTTGTCTTATATTTTTGTATTTTTTTTTTTTTTTTTTTAAAGATATTTATTTAATGATTTAGTTGCACAAAAAAAGACCATGTAGTGTATATATGTAGTATAGATAGGACTATAACTGAGACAAGCACAGTGTGGCTAGAGAGTGGACAGATGAATGTGTATTATGGAGTACAATGTAGAGAGAGTGAGAGGTACAGTGTGGAGAGGAGTGTAAATGTCAAATCTTCAGTCACAAGGTCTTTATTATTATTATAATCAAGGGGGAAGCGCTAAACCCGGAGGATTATACAGTGCCTGGGGGGGGGGGGATGTGGAAGGCATTCAGGCTTAATTCGGGGAACTGGAGCACAGATCCAATTCCCTAAATCAAGAGCCCCTCACCAACATCAAGGAACCTTCCTTGAGGGGATCCACACACACACACAAGGTCTTTAGATTCAACTAATGATCATATCCTGTGATTTTCTTTTTCTATTTAAATCTGTCACGTGTCAACCTGTTGCCTTCTAATAATAGATTTTAGTGAATCTGAAGCAAAGAACACTACAATTTAGTAATGATTCACTTTCTTAATAAAAAACAGTATTTAAAACTATAATAATTTATGTTGACATACTGTGGAAAAGAGAATTTCTTTGTAGTCAGATGGTTGCTGTTATCTTGCTTTCTCAATGTTCACTTTTTTTGCATCTGTTCCAGATTCCCAATGTACAAAGTATATCGTGAAAATAGTCATTGTAAATACATAGATCGGTTTGGAATTTAAGCATAATAAATAAAGTGTTATGTCATCAGCTGTGTGTAACATTTCACATCCTTTGTTTATATGAAATGATTTAAAGAAAAAGTCTTCTGAAATTATAGATAAAAAATTCTTAGCCAGCACTTTCCTTAGACCATTCATGTGTATTTTAAGTCTTTCTTGTATAATGCCATATATTTTTTTTAGGCAGTGCTGAATGATCCATATGGACTTAAAAGGTTTTATAATAATACTTTTTTATAATTATAATCACATAAAACACACAAGTGTAATATAAAAGGTCTAAGGAAAGCACTGCTATAGGAAATGGGAATTTGTAAGAAAATCTGTAAAATTGTAGAGGTACAGTAGGGTCCCGCTTTACGGCGTTCCGTTAATACGGACATTTCAAATTATGATGAAACTCGCTATACGGTTCTCCCCCCCCCCCTCAACTTTCTAATACAGTCACTGCGCCCCACCCAGTTTCTTTACATTCTCCATGAGCACCGCATCTCTCCATTGTCTGGAAACTTTCCAAAATTTTAAGTATTTTAAAGTTATTTCATGTTTTATACAGTGGACCACCGCATAGCGACCTTAATCCGTGCAAGAGGGCTGGCTGTTATGCGAAATGTTCGGTATGCGAATGAATTTTCCCCATAAGAAATAATGGAAATCAAATTAATCCGTGCAAGACACCCAAAAGTATGAAAAAAAATTTTTTACCACATGAAATATACATTTTCCTACACACAAAGAGAAGGATACATGCACAATAGTAGAGTAGTACATGCACAATATATATTGTGCATGTACTACTCTACTAAATGAAGAATAAATGACACTTACCTTTATTGAAGATGCAGCAATGACTGATGAGACACTGTGTCCTGGGAGTGCCTTTTCCTCCTGAGTACTGTAGGTCCTGTTTGGTATTTTCTTCCAGAACAGGCATTATCACACTGTGTATGCCACTACGATTCTTAAATCTCTCAAACCAACCTTTGCTGGCTCTAAATTCACCAATATGAGCACTAGTTCCAGGCATTTTCCCTGTTCACCTGGGTGTTAGTCGACTGGTGTGGGTTGCATCCTGGGAGACAAGATTAAGGACCCCAATGGAAATAAGTTAGACAGTCTTCGACGACACTGACTTTTTTGGGTTATCCTGGGTGGCAAATCCTCTGGGGTTAATTGTTTCTTGGTATTCTCAATAAGCCACACCAACAACGGTGGTACAGCAGCAACAGACGATGCTACAGCAGCAGCAGACGATGCTACAGCAGCAACTGACGATGTTACAGCAGCAGCAGACGATGCTACAGCAGCAGCAGCAGCTGACGGTGGTACAGCAGCAACAGACGATGCTACAGCAGCAGCAGACGATGCTACAGCAGCAGCAGCAGCTGACGGTGGTACAGCAGCAACAGACGATGCTACAGCAGCAACTGACGATGTTACAGCAGCAGCAGACGATGCTACAGCAGCAGCAGCAGCTGACGGTGGTACAGCAGCAACAGACGATGGTACAGCAGCAACAGACGATGCTACAGCAGCAGCAGACGATGCTACAGCAGCAGCAGACGATGCTACAGCAGCAGCTGTACCACCAATAGTAGCGATGGTTGATTGGGGTTTATTATACAACCTGGCCAGCTCGGAGACACGCACTCCACTTTCATACTTATCAATGATCTTTTTCTTCATCTCCATAGTAATTCTCACCCTTATTGATGTAGGGTTGGCACTAGAAGCTTTCTTGGGGCCCATGGTCACTTATTTTCCAGAAAAAATCACCAAAAACACTGTAATAATACGAAATGTTCCGATTGTATGCTTGGATGTTACCGCGGAGGCTGGCTGGTAAACAATGCCACTGGCGGAACATGTGAGCGTGGCTCAGGCCGCACATTGGACGCCTCTCGGATGAAGGGTGGTGAGCGGGTTTTTGGGCGGTATGTGAGGCAAAATTTTTGCGATCAAAGCGTCCGGTATGCGGATTGTACGGTATGCGATGCGTCCGGTATGCGGGGGTCCACTGTATATGTATACAGGTTTGCCATCACAAATCCGGCATCACTGGGACCTGTAGTGTGCCGGATTACACAGTGGTTAGGTTAGAATACACTTAATAAAATTAACCAACTTGACTTACACAAAGTTCATTGAACATCGGCAAAAATCGAACATTTCCGCTACTTTGAGCTCAATTTCAAGGTACTTTTCGTCATGAAACCAATCAAAATCATATCTATTTCTGTAATATATCTTCCATTCTATCAAATGAGACCAAAAAACTATATTACAACCATAAAAACCATATAAAAATATACTGCTATGGGGCCACTAATGAATGAGAAGTAAACTCTTGTTATTTATGGTCTAATTTCTTTCATTTTTGGTGTATGTTACGAAGCATCTTTCCATCATACATTGCCCAAGTTTTAATAAGATAGCCCAACAAACAACTGAGAGAAAAAATATAATAATAATAATAATGTCTTTATTTACTACAAGTACATGCACATGGTATACATGCCTAGCTGACAACACTGACATACTACTATATAGAAAGCCCCTTGTTATGCTAAGCATTTCAGGCAAATTAGGTCAGTGTCCCAGGATAAGACCCACACTAGTCCACTAACACCCAGGTACCCATTTACTGATGGGTGAACATAGACAACAGGTGTAAAGAAACACACCTAATGTTTCTACCCTGGTTGAGAATTGAATATTTACCAAAAATTATATATGGGTAGCCCAAGCCAGGTACTAAAAATAAGCCACTTTGTCTGACTTTTTTGGGTCATCCTAAGTTCTCTACACACATCCTGCTATGTGTGATAATCTATGTAGAGAAAATAGCTTTTTGTTTGTTATATAGTGCAGTTCAGGTGTATATCACAGTTAGCCATGTGCTATACTCTGTTTTCTCTAATATAAGCCCCAAGACAGGGATAGGAGAATGGTACTTGTATCCCATATCCTCTTCATACCTCCATCGAACTGCTCAGTATTATGCCAAATATTATTCATTCTGGATTATTTTAACATGTTTTTATGTTATTTATATTGTTTATTTGGCAGTTTCTCATCTCCGCCTCCAAGGGAGACTACCTCGTGTTTCTTATTCCCGTGTTTCAAAACGTCCCCCCACTTCTGGTATCCCATCTTCTGCACCCACCTCTGTGGTTACCTCTCCCATAGTCACTCCTGTAGCTAATTCTTTTGCTGTCCTCAGCTCAGACGTCCCTACTTCAACGTCTCAGTCTGATCTCCCTTCTTTGTGTTCTCTCTCACAAGCCTCAGTAGCGACGAGATCTCGTATGACACCTCCTCCCAATCGTCCCTCTACTTCTCGAAAGTCAAAAAAAAGGTCCGTTAACACCTCCTACCCATCTTCCACCTCCTCATTTTCCCTTCCCTGTCTCTGTACCTGGTTCTCCCTCTCTCACTGGCTCTGTTACAAGTGTAGAGGTTCACCCTCCTCCTCGTACTGTACCTTCCTCCCCTGTTCCCTCCCAAGTTTCTTCCTCTTCTGCCACCTCCCAGGTTTCTGCCTCTTCTGTCCCCTTCCACGCTTCTCCAGTTCCCTCCGCCCTTTCGCCCCCCCCTACCTTGGTACAGTCCATTACAGTTCCAATCTTTACTCATCCTCCCCCTACCATTTCCAATATTGTCTCCCATACGACGTCTCTGAGTTCTGAAACACTAGAAGCAATCTCTGAATATATTGCAGAGACCAAACCATCAATGGACACTGATCCACCCTCCGCTCCTTCTCTCTCCTCTACTCCATCTGCGCAACTCCTTTCTTCACAGCGCACCGTTCCTTCGCTGCTTGAACGTTTTCCACTGCCTCCGCATGTGGACTTTTCTAACCCCTCTAGTCCGTAGGAACCCTTACCTGCGGATTTCAGGTATCTTTATCATTGCCAATCATGGCCTATTTACAGTGGAATATACGCGGCCTCAGGGGTAATCGGGGTGAGCTTCAGATGTTACTCTCCCAGTTTTCCCTTGTTGGTGTTTGCTTACAGGAACCAAAATTACACTCTGCTGTTATCTCTCCCATCTCAGGCTATGATTTATTGTATTCTTCAGATCCTTTTCCTGATGGGACCTTTAATGAAAGTGCCCTTCTTCTGCGCACTGATATTCCGTACCATCAGCTATTTGTTCGTACTTCGCTGCATTACACAGCAGCCCGTATCCACTTGCATAGGTGGTATATGCTCTGTTCTTTATATCTCTCTCCTTCTCGGGCATTATCTATTCCGGATATTGCCTTTCTTGTTTCATCATTACCACCCCCGGTTCTGTTACTTGGTGTTTTTTAATGCCCACCATTTCCTCTGGGGGGGTCTCACTGTGATTCCCGTGGCATTCAGTTAGAGGCTTTTCTTGCCACCCACCCCCTCCATGTTTTAAATACAGGTACTCACACCCATTTTGATCCTCGGACTCACACACACTCTTGCATCGATCTCTCAGTCTGCTCTTCCTCCGCCGCATTAGACTTCACTTGGTCTGTTCTTCCGGACTTACATGACAGCGATCATTTCCCAATCATTCTTACTTCCCCTTCATATTCACCACCTCTTCGCACCCCACGCTGGCAATTTGATCAGGCAAATTGGAACCTTTACTCACACTTAACTGTTTTTAGAGAGGTTCCTTCTTCGTCCTCCATCGATGAGCTTTTACACCTCTTCTCGTCCTCCGTTTTAACCGCAGCTTCTCATTCTATACCCCAAACTTCGGGCAGGCATTCTCAGAAATGCATGCCTTGGTCTCCTGCTTGTGCTCGTGCAGTACGTTTGAAACGCGCTGCATGGGACAGGTACCGGTACAATAGAACCACAGAGAGAATTCTTGATTTTAAGCAGAAGCGTGCGATCGCTTGCCGTGTCATCCGTGACGCTAAACGCACTTGCTGGCGAGATTGTCTCCACCATCACCTCTGCTTCCTCTGTGAGTGCAGTCTGGAAAAAAGTACAAAAACTGAGTGGTAAATATTCTCCTGACCCGGCTCCTGTTCTGCGG